GTATTCAGGATACTTCTTAGCTTTGGTTTAGTCCAGTTGTGCTGACTCCCCTGTAGTGTGCTATCCTTCCCTTAACCTAAGATGTTACACTAACTTTTGGTGTTTCTCTAAGCATTTAGGTTTTTGACACTAGAGCTGTCAGAAAGAGAACATGGTTCTGCTGATGCCCTGAATTTGGACTTCTAACCTTCAGAACTGGGAAAATAAATGTCTGTTCTTTAAAACCACCTACTCTGTGGTACTTTGTTATGGCAGCCCTAGGAAACTAAGACACATTTTAACTCCCCCCCATCGAAGAAAAAGGCTTAAATGTTTATAGGAGAGAAACTGTAGAAAGGGAGAGGTTAAAGACTAAGGCTAGAGAGGGGGAAGTGATAGTAAAGTCCTTGCTGAGAAGATGGGAGAGGGTGGGATGCAGTGCTCCAGTGGAGACACTGGCCTGGCCTGGCTGGTTAGAACACTCCCGATGTTACAGGGAGCTGCAGGAAAGAGTTGGTGCTGATGATGGTGAGTTCGAAGATTTGGTAGTGGGGAGTTAAAGCAAGTTCCCATCTGTGATGGTTAATTTTATGTGTTAACTTGACTAGGCTATGGTATCCAGTTGTTTGGTTAAACACTAATCCAAATGTTGCTATGAAGGTATTTACATGTGACCAACATTTAAATCAGTTGACTTTAAGTGAAGCAGATTACTGGCCCTCATCCATTCTGTTGAAGGCCTTAAGAGCAAAAACTGAGGTTTCCACAGAGAAAGAGAAAGATTCTGCCTCAGGGTTGTAACACAGATATCCTGCCAAAGTTTCCAGCCTGCCTGGCCTACAGATTTTGGAATTAAGACTGCTGGAGTTTCTAGCCTGCACCTGTCCTACAGATTTGTGACTTGTCAGCCCCCACAATCACATAAGCCAATACCTTAAACCTCTCTATTGATCTGCAGGCTTGGTGTGCACATGCAGGCACACGAAGCCCCTCACACTGTAGGACTGAGTTGGGAATGGTAGGGGGCTTTCATTTGTACTTTTCCTCTGGACTCCTGCAAATATTAATAGCTCTAACGTTGTTGCAGAGTCCCTGGGTGGCACAAATGGTTAAGCGCTAGACTACTAACTGAAAGGCTGGCAGTTCAAATCTACCCAGAGGCGCCTGGGAAGAAAGGTCTGGCAATCTGCTTCCAAAACGTCACAGCCTTGAAAACCCTATGGAGCACAGTTCTATTCTGCAACACATGGGGTCGCCATGAGTTGGAATCGACTCCATGGCAATGGGTTTGTGTTTTTTGGTTTAATGTTGTTACACAAACCTGAACTATTGACAAGGTTTACAACAACAGGTCTTGAAGAATATTTAGTTCCACTACTGCAAGGGAGCCCTGCTGGCACAGTGGTTAAAGCACTTGGCTGCTAACTGAAAGGTCAGAGGTTCCAGCCACTCCAGGGAGAAAGATGTGGCAGTCTGCTTCTGGAAAGATTTACAGCCTTGGAAATCTTACGGGCAGCTCTGCTCTGTCCTACAGGGTCACTATGAGTCAGACTCAGTGGCAGTGGGTTTTTTGTTTTGTTTTGTTTTTTATTGCAAACCTGTTTTTAACTGTCTGTATTTTCTAGAGTCAGTGTATCACTATCATGTGTGTATAAGTTCATACGTACCATGTATATAGAGTGTATGCACACTGTATGCAGCCTAGTTGTTGAAATAACAAAAAAAACCCAAACCCGTTACCATCAAGTCGATTCCAACTCATAGCAACCCTTAAGGACAGAGCAGAACTGCCCCACAGGGTTTTCAACAAGCAGCTGGTGGATTTGAACTACTGATCTTTTGGTTAGCAGCCAAGCTCTTAACCACTGCACCACTAGGGCTCTGTTGTTGAACTAGATGGATAAAATTTACTGTTTAGCAAGGAAACCTGCACAAGGGTGGAAAATACTTGTTATTAATCCCAGACAGAGTTTGTTCTCTTCCTTTGCAAATGTAACACCCATTAGTGTTAATGGAAAATGCAGGCAATACATTCATGCAGGGATGGATTACCCAATAAGCAAAGTACGCAGGGGCTTGATGCTTACCAGTTAATTCGACCCTGCATTCAAGCACCAAGGAGAGCCACCCAAACCAACCAAATCCACTGCCCTCCAGACAATTCCGACTCATAGCGACACTATAGGACACAGTAGAACTGCCCCATAGGGTTTCCAAGGCTGTAAATCTTTATAGAAGCAGACTGCCACATCTTTCTCCCACAGAGCAACTGGTGGGTTTGAACCTCCGACCTTTTGGTTAGCAGCTAGTGCTTTAACCACTGAGCCACCAGGATTCCTAAAGGAAGACAAAACCAAACCAAACTCATTGCTGTCGATTGGATTCCGACTTATAGCAACC